AGCTGCTGTTCAGTGGAGCTTTTCACAGCTCATTCCAGAGGCCCTGCAGAAGGGCGCAGCAGGTGAAGGCACTGCTTCCTGCCCTGGATGCTCCACTTCCAACCACCTGCTGCCTCCCAGCTGTGTGCCAGCAGGAAGCTGGATCACAAGCAGAGCCAGGACCCGACTCAGGCACTCTGATGGGGGGTCTGGGCAACCCAAGTGTCACCACTAACTGCTGCCCCAGATGCCTGCCCAACACTGATTTTAATCGCGTCATGGCAGAATGCACTCCTTGACTCCTGTGTCAGGCATGGGGCTGGCCTTTTTAGCTCCCTGTCCTAGTGGGTCCCCTGGGTGACTTCATGCCCCAGGAGCAGGTGACCCGTGTCCTTCACACAGGAGAGTGGGTAACGTGGCCAGGATTGTTCTAGTAATGGTGACTGACCCACACGGGAATGTGCTGCAATCCACAGCAGCAGTTCCCTGGGTGAAGTTGCCACTCCCAACAATGGTATCCCAAATTAGGTCCCAGTGGCTCTGTTTCTGATCTAGCTCCCTGCTAACAAGCCCAGGAGGCAGAGGATGATGGCTTACATACTTGGGCCTCTGCCACCTATGTGGGGAGAGTCGGATGCAGTTCTAGGCTCTTGCAGTGGCTTGGTGAATGGACCGGTAGATGGAGGATCCATGTCTCTCCCTCTCTGACAACTTGCCTTTCAGATAAATACATCTTTAAAAGGAACACCATTTCAGGGATGGCGCAGTGGAGCATATGGGATGCCATGCTTGGAGGTGGAGGATTAGCCAATCAGGCTGGTACACCTCTCCTCTCTTGCTGCATCTGTTTCACCTTTGGTCATTCAACAGTGTCGTTCACCCATTTTCTCTTGGGGTTCCTATATATATATATACATTGATGATTACATGGTTGATCAGGGTGGGAAGGATCAAGGGTTAGGGAAAAGTGGATGAAATCATTGTTTCCAAATTTGCTACTGTTTCTTCTTGTTTCTGCGGGGGGAGGGGAGAGATAAAGGAGAAAGCCACACCCAGTCTCCCAAATGTCCCAGTATCCAGGGATGGGAAACTGCCACCCGACATCAACCTAGAGTCCCGCTGTGCCCATGTTCTGAGGGTTCTGCCCAAGTGGTTTGGATAGTTCTGAAATGCTGTCAATTTCACCAATTCAAGGATAATGCAGCCCTCCCAATGACCATTGGCTCACATGGTCAACCTCAAGTCTCCATTCACCCAGATTTTTGCTATCAGTTTGGCAGGGGTAGTTATCCAATTTGTTCAGTTCTCCTTCTTCTGCTATGGTACCAAATGGGCTGCCATATTCTCCATGTGCATCAGGATCTGTGTCCACTGCTCTGCCTTTTTCAGAGACCATATTCTTGCAGGCAGGCCAAAGGACCCAGGCCAGGTGACCCATGCCACCCCCAGGGCTCACGAACCTGGCACCAATATCACAGATGGGCACAGGATCCCAGGCTGGTTGACCTGGGCCTCGCTGGATCCCCTGCCCCCAGGGCTCACAAACTGGGTACCCACTATGCAGGTAGGTACAAGCACTCAAGCCAGGCAACCCAAACCCCGCCGGATCCCCCACCTCTGGGGCTCACAGAGTTCCTACATACTCGTTGACGGCCAGAATTCCTTGTTATCACGTGGGCCCAAGTCCCTTGAACCTGTTTGGACTCTGTCTCTTCCCAGCTCCACTGTCTGTTAACATGTCTCTGTGAGCCAGAGCTGGTGAGGCAACCAGCCCCATCTAAGCCAGGGTGAGTGCCGTCGCATGGTGGGAAAAGCTGCTGCCTGCGACAAGCATCCCACACAGGCACCAGTCCCGGCTGCTCCAGTTTGTTAAGATGCCTAAAGCAGCATAAGATGGCCCAAGTGCCTGGGCCCCCGCAGCTCTATGGGAGACCCAGAGAAAGCCCCTGGCTCTTAACTCTGCCTTTGAAATTGCCTTGAAAAGTCCTTCCCAACCTGCAGCTCAGAGATATCTTCTGGATCTACCATGTAAATATCTGAGTGCTCTCATACACATCATAGTTGTCAACCTGTTTTCAAGGCTTCGTTGTACAGCACTAGGAAAGGATTTGATTTTATGAATATCCATGGAATGACATTTCCCCAGCCTTACCCACTCTTTGTCCCTCCCCCTTGGCTGGCAAATTCTCCAGCATTTAACTCCGGGGCCCTAACCCAGCAATTCGCAGTCCGTTAGGTAACTGATGAGGGCTGTCTCACATAAATGGCAGCCTGCTGTGCACAGGGATGGACACTAGGGGGCACACCTCTCCTTTGGCTTTGGAGTTAACCTGTGCTACTGACAGGACTGAGATCTCCCAAGTGACTTAAACTTTTTAATACCAGCTCTGAAGGCTTTCTACAGCATGGAAAGTGTATTTTGTTCTGGTCTGCAGCTCTGAGCTGTCTGTCTCCTGCCGGCTATTTCAGGGTCTCTATCCCGGCCCCTTTGTACTTCCAGAGCTGTCAGCCCACACAGCTCCAGGCATCAAGGAATCCCTCTCCCCCTGCCCCAGCCTTAAGTACCACTGACACAGGCGAGTGTGACCCAACTGCATCTAGCAACTGATACATTATCCAGACATGTAAGGACGTGTCTGTTGCAATTTTGCTGTTGGCTTTTCCCTCCATGATAAAACTTCTTCTAAAGGCTCAGGCTCCCTTGTAATCAGTGGCCTTTTTCTCATGGCGCATGGCGGATGAAACCATCCAGCCATCTCTAGCTGAGCAACAGTAACAAGTCCTAGGGTTGCTGTTAGCTATTCCAGATACATGCTGGCTCAAAGCCTGTCCCCTCCTCCTTCCTGAGCCCAAGCCCATCTTCCCATATCCCTGGCTGGCTGGCAGGACTTCTGAGTCCTGTGCCTGGCCCTGGGCCACACTTTTCCCCAGGAGCTAGTGGGTGAACACCGAGTCCTTGTAATACGATCTCACTGTGCAGATGGTAAAGCAGACAGTAACATCTATTATTACAGTCTGAAATAGGAAGGTTAGACAAATGAGCAGGCACTTGCAATCAGAACCAAGGTCCAGAGGCAGGTGCTTGGCACAGGGTTAACACCCCACTGGGCTTTGGCCTCAGCTTTGCCTCTGGCTACAGCTCCTTGCTAATGTGAGCTCTGGGAATCAGCAGGTGATGACAGCTCAAGTATCTGGGTCCCAAGGACTCTGGTGGAAGACCTGATGAAGCCCCATCTCCAGTCTTTGGCCCAGCCTAGCCCTGGCTGTCACAGCTATGTAAGGAGCTAGCCAGCAGGTGCAAGACCCCTTTCAAAATATCATGATGCTCACCTGCACTGGGCAAGGCACCCTTCTTTACTCAGTCTACCAATTCAAATGCTAGTATCTTCTAGAAACACCCTCCCAGACACCTCCAGAAACATTGTACCAGCTCTCTGGGCATCTACCCTGGCCAAGCTGACGCACACAATGGGCATGCAATGGTGTCTGTTTAACTTGTGCTTCCCTTTGGTGGTCTGGCTGACCATTTCTGCCACTCCCACTGGAATCAGGGTTCTTGACCAGACAGGAAGAGATGAAGAGGCTCCTCATATGGTCATCTCTACCAAGGTCCAATGCAGGTGCTGGTGCTCTACCTGCAACTCCTATGACACCAAGCTTTTTGGCATGAGACCTTGTGCTAGATGCTTGGGGAAGCATAACCTAGTAGTGGGGACATGTGTCCATTTTCATGCAGAATATTCAGAGTGCTCAGACCACAGAGCGCCCTGAGATTATAGGCAGGGGATTTGGGCTGGAGGTAATCCAAACCAGGTGGCCTTTTAGGGAGTCAAGGAGTACCAGTGCACACACAGGTGACAAGCCTGGCAGGGGACTTTAAGCTTACAGGCCTCAAGAAGCTCTAGCATTTGGGACACACGAAGTTTGTCAATGTGGACTGGCACGGCAAGTATCAGCTGGGAAAAGCAGTCAAACATCTCAGAGGAGTCAGGTGTACAGCCAGCATCCTCTGCTGGCAGTCCCAAGAGTCCATGCGGCAGCCCTGAAAGCTTCCACAGGTCCGTGAGAAAAGGAACGGCGAGAGGCTGGGCTTCTGAATCATAGGCCTAGCTTGGTCCCAAAATATTTAAGAAGTACTTATGTAAAAAGGCAGAGTCACAGAAAGAGAGAAATCTTCCATCCACCAGCTTATTCCCTACACAGACACAACAGCCAGAGCCAGGAACTTCATCTGGGTGCCTGCGTGGGTTGGCAGAGGCCCAAACACTTAAGCCATCCTTCACTGCTTTTTTTAAGGAATTAGGAGAGCTGGATCAGAAATGGTACAGCTGGGACACAAACTGGTAGCCAAATAGGATGCCAGTGTCACAGGTGACAGCCCATCTCACTGTACCACAGGGGTGACTCTGAACTAAAAAACGTGATGCACCATTAATGTTATAGGCTGTGTCAAGCTGAGCACACGCTGGGCTCCCACAGGACTGTGCCATGGGTGAAGCCAGCCAGCACTGCTGAGCACAGAGCCTGGGGCTCTGTGTGACGACACGTGTGACGTTGCTCCTGACAGCATCTGTGCTCAGGTTGAGAAGAGACTTAGCAAAGACTGCTGAAGAGGAGATGTACAGAGCAGGAGCTTCTGCCAAGAGAACTAAGCGAATGCATTAGCCAGGCATGACCACCTATGTGCTGGATACTGCCAGGACCTGGGGCCTGTGATGAAATCAGTGCACCGTACCCCAGACGCCTGCCTGTGCCCAGGCCAGTCACTTCTAGCACTGCAACGGGCATTGCAGAGGGTCACAGCTCAGGATGCACAAAGTGCTGGAACACCCAGAACAAGCCTCTCGGTGGAGCGGGGCACAGGTCAAGGCAGGACAGCCCAAAGGGGAAACAGGACAAGCTGCCAGCGTGACGACAGACAGGGCCTAGTTGGCCCACGGGGCATCGCCCAGACCCAGCCAGGAAGGCGGGCTCCGGGCAACAGGCCTGAGATGGTCACTCAGTAACAAGGCACACACATGGGCAGTAAAACCTTTTACTTTTTTCACATTGTCTTTTGCTTTTTTACTAGAAGATTTATAACAAAAACACATGAATTTAGTATGCATTTCAGTATGTTGGCCAATTACAGAATCTAAACAAGACACATCTATGAAATATCATTCTTCTTGTGGAGCTAAAATCACCCATTCCACTAAGGAAAGGATCCCTGTGCGATGAGGCCCCATCGCCTCATACTGAGATTCTAACTTCAGACTGGCTGACTTGAAGGAACGAAATTAAAAAAAAAAAAAAAGTACGCTCAGACACACCCAACCACCTGCACTCGCCTAGAGGGGACGAGGGTGTGGGGCAGGGTCCCTCTGCAGACACGTGGGTGCCCCGAGGCGGCTCAGACTGGTACTCTGAAACATAACCACCCTGTGCTGCGGCGACAAGTGCCGCAGGCGGAGGGGAGGGGATGACAGACGAGTGACGAGAACTTCAGGCCGGAGGCCTGGTGTCCACGGCGCATGGCCAACACTCAGCTCCCACAGGGAGAAAAGACGGCCTCAGTGTAACCCGCAGCCAGCACGCCTGCACGGAGGCCTGTAACTGGAGAGTGAATGCTCCAGGGGGGAGGTAAGCTGGAGCGGACCGGAGCACGCAGGCTTCTGCCCAAACTCCACCGGCTACGGACGCTCAATCAGCATGAAAGAGTCAAAACCGCTTGGTTTCAAAATGCAAATCCTTCACATCCACCTCTGTTCAAAATGAGTAACAATAATTTACAATATTAACAGCTTCCTTAAAAAAAAAATAATAATAATTCTGCCCCCTGGGTGGGAAGACCCATTTTCCTCTGGATGTGGTTGGGTAGAAAGGCTCGCATACACGACGGACACAAAACCAAAGTCCTGGCTCCTGTTTCCGGCTTCCAGCAGGAGCCACCCCAAATAGTTTTAAGTGAGTGTTTTCCACTGCCAAGCACCTCGGCCCCTGCAGAGCAATGTGTGACACGCATAAGTAATAGAGACATTTAACCGCTTCCCCTCCACCTGGGGCACCACCAAGCCTCCCGCCAAGTTCTGAGCAACGGAAAATCATGTCCACCAGGTGGCCAAGTGGCCTCCTCCCATCCTACCCAGAATCAGACCACAGTCAGTGGCGAGCATGCAGCGGCGTGGACACAGACTTCCGTGTCCCGGATGTCCGATGTTAGCCATGGGAGAGCACTCTTTCACTGGACAAGCTGTGCCTCCAATGCAACCTGTCCGTCCAACAAGTTGCACTTGGATACGCCAGCCACGAATTGCTTCAGGACAAAGACTACATAACATTTCTCATCTCTACATCACTGACGTAACGGAGGGGGGAAAGGGGGACCATAATCAACATTAAAAAGTCTGACAACGAGAATCAGAAAATCCATAAAAAGGAAAGAGGGCACTAGACTGGCTTGACAGCTGTTCCATCACGGCCCACCACGCAGGCTTTGGGCTAGTGACTTCATGGACGCACCCCTCGATGCACTGCCAAAGGCCAGTTTCCAGTCTGTTACGGTGACCCCAGTGCGATGCTGCCTGCCTTCCGCTCAGCACCTTCCACCTGCGAGATCCAAAGGGCTCTTGGGCAGCGGTTAAGCACGGCCCCTCAACAGGTGCCAGCAGAACCTTCCCAGAAACTTCGCCTTGGATTTGGGTAAGGAACTGAGTCAGTAGCTGGGAGTCCGGGCAAGAGCATCCACACTGGGGCTTAACCTCAGCAGCCGGCCTGCAGGATATCACCCCCGGAGCGCTTGGTCACTGACAGCGTCGTGAACACCTGCAGGGGAGACAGAGGGCCACGTGTTTAGACATCTGAGTAGAGGTGTTCATAGGGAGTGCTTCACAGAACATGACACAGGTGAGGATGGCTAAGGTGAGGGTGACACAGGGGACTCCTTCAGGAAAAACAGACTTGGCATCAGTCAAGGGCAACCTCTGTTACTCCAGAAGAGGAAGCAGGAAAAACACTGAAAAACCAACAAGAGCCAAAACACTGTTATAGCTGGTGGAGATTTTTATTAGCATGAGAGCAAGCGAGGCATATCAGTCCCCCAACTGCTTGTCAACTCTGTGGACTCAGAGAGATGTGCAGTGATGGTCACCCACACCCCACTAGCTGCGCATGCTCCTCCTGACGGCCCTCTCCTCCCGTAACTGGTGCTTACCAGGCCTGCAGATTCCCCCCAGATCTTTCTTTCTCTGCACTCTTACACGGCAAGATGGCTGGCTTATACACTCTTCTGCTATCTACTTTCCCGGCTCCATCCTAAAGCTTTGTAATTGAACTCTTGGCCTGCAAGTCCACTGTGCGCCAAACACACTATCAGCTGCTTGTCTCTGGAGGTCTGTTTTAAGATTTACTTATCTGTGGGCCCGGTGCAATGGCTCAGTGACTAAATCCTCATCTTGCATGCACTAGGATCCCATAAGGGCGCCGGTTCATGTTCCATATACTCCACTTCCCATCCTGCTTATGCCTTGGGACCCTGCACCGGCATGAGAGACCCGAGGAAACTCCTGGCTCCTGGCTATGGACTGGCTCAGCTCTGGCCATTGCGGCTACTTGGGACATGATCCAGAGGACTGAAGATCTTTCTCTCTGCCTCTCCTTCTCTCTGTAAATCTGCCCTTCCAATAAAAATAAAATAGATTTATTTATTTGAAAGGCAGCATTATAGAGACACAGAGATCTTCCACCTGCTGATTCATACTGCAGATGAGCAACAGCCAGGGCTGGGCCAGGCCAAAACCAGGAGCCTCATCCAGGTCTCTCACAGGGGTGAGAGGAGCTCAAGCACTGTGCCACCTATTGCTGCTTCGCCCAGGCCATTAGCAGGGAGCTGGGTAGATAGCGAAGCAGCCGGGGTATAAACTGGCACCCACATGGATGCCAGCGTCACAAGTTACAGCTTTACACACTGAGTCTCAATGCCAGCCCTGCAGTCTCACCAAACAGGAAGCTTGCCTAACATCAAGATTTCTAAAACCATAATACTTCCACACTTAGAAAAAAGATTCTGAGGGCAGGTGAGAAGCCTAGCAGTGAAGGTGCTGGTTAAGACGCCTGTGTCCCATCATCACAATACCTGGGTTTGACTTGGGCCTGGATCCTAGTTCAAACACCAACCCCGCCCACCCATACACACACACACCCTGTGCTGGCCGACTGTGGGACCCCACTGCCTTCCCTGGTCACCCCCATGTGTGTGACACAAACATCATTGCTAACACATGCCTGGCATGAAAAGACCAGGAAACATTTCCCAAGCAGACACCAGATGCAAATTTTCAACTATACATCTTGGCTAGCATTTGTGTGGCACTTCCTTCCAACCTTCGCCATCTTCTCCAAAGTGGTCATATGTTTCGGTTTATCAACCCTTGTAGTACCAAAAACATTCAACTCTTGGTGGATCACTGACAGCAAAGAAACACTGACATTCGGAGGCCCTCTGGACCAGTCAGTCTGCAGGGCCACTGCCACTTGCCCAACCTCTTAAAAGCATCACTTTCCAGTCTCATTCCTGGATATCAAAAGCTGAAGAGGCAGACACCTCATTCAGCCTCCAGGTGGTTCCGGAGTACCTAAGAATAACCAAGGCTCTTGCCAGCTACAAACGACATTTACTGACTGCCATGAAAAACATTTACAAGTCATGACATGTAAAAGAGATAAGGCACATCTCTATAAGCCAACCTCCTAATTCTCATTACTTCAAAGCCTGACAGAAGCCTCCAGTCTACTCTAGGAACAACATGTTTCTGAAAGAGGGAGCAAGAACCCTTCTGGAAGCATGTTTTACTATCCTCACACTGCCAGAAGACAGACACAGCATCCACACAGCAGAGGAGTGGGCGCTGGCAACGGAGGGCTCCACCCACCCCCTACAAGCCGAGAGGCGCGCAGGTGACCCACCTCTGCACAGACCGGGTGGATACCGATGGTGCTGTCCAGCTGTGTTTTGGTCAGCCCACACTTGAGCGCCGCAGCAAAGCCCTGGGTGACTTCTCCAGCATTTGGACCCAGTACGTGAAAGCCCACGACCCGTTCCTAAGATGGAAGAGAAAGCAATACAATGAAGCTGGTGTTTCCTCAAGTCAGCCTACACAGCCTATTCCACCCTCAACAGTTCAAAGTCCATTTCAGACATGGCAAATGGTTACTGCTGACGCCTGTGTAGGCTCAACACTCCTTCACATGGGCCAACACAGGGCACATCATGTCCCTATGGAGAAAGAAGTGAAGTACCAACCATGACGACAAGAGCAACATGGAAAGCAAAAGCACCTGCAGCATCTCTACCACCAAATGCCCCAGTGTTCTAAGAGGGCCATGGTATCCCACCATCTTCTCCCAGATTGTCTTGGCTCCCCAGAAGCCCTGCTATGGCTCTGTGACTCTGGACAGCAGGGACTCATATGAAACAATCACCCTAACAAAGACCTAAGCAAGCTCTTGGGGGTAGAAGGAAGTCTGTCGTGTTCTACTGCTTAGGTCAGACTTTCTCGGCCACGATAAGCCAGACTAGGGAGTCCCCGCTGCCCAGAACAGAAGAGGCAATCATGAGCAGTATTCATTCTGGCAACAGGATTGCTTGGAATGAAGGAAACCTCAGGAGGTCTCATGATTGTCCACGCTCAGATGGTCTCTCCCCACTGCCGGGAGGCAGGTCACGAATGCCAGCCAGAACGCCTGAGGTTTCCTCCCTCTGCTGCCACTACTGACACCTAACACTAACACATATCAATTTTCAATAATGTGCCTGAAAACTACAGGAGTGTCCTTGTTCTTTATGTCAAGGGTCCAGCTCCTAATGGGCTTCCCTAGAATATCCACTCGTTAAATGCCTCACAGATGGCCTTCTGGTTGTGTTGTTGCTGGAGCCCGAGGGTCTTCAAGGATATGCGGCTCAATTACAATCAGAGCTCAAGATAAAAACAATGATCAGAGAAGCAGGTATTTGGCAGAACAGTTGAGGCACAATTTGGGCCTCCCACATCCCATACTGGAGTGCTTGGGTTGAGAGCCAGCTCTACCTGGGAGGCAGCAGATGATGATTCAAGCACCTGAGTCCTCGTCATCCATGTAGGGGACTTGGACTGAGTTCCATGTGCCTGGTATGGCCTGGCCTGGCCCGGTCCGGCACAACCAGCAGATGTGGGCATTTTGGGGAATGGGCCAGTGAGTGAAAAATCTCTTTTCTCTTTGAATTTCAAATTAGGGAAGGAAAAAGTAAATAAAAGTAATAAATAAGTAAATAAATAACTTATCAGGGTTTATTAGATATTTAACATATGGATTCTTAGACATTATTTTATCTCTATAAAAGATAGTGTGCTAGATAAGTGGAAATCTGCTCTATAAAATTCAACACACAACTTAAACAGAATATGCATATGGACATCAATGAGTCCCAAGGTACCCAAAACACATCTCCTGCTGCGTGGCAGGAGTAGAAAAGCCTGGAAAATGTGGGCTGACTCAATCCTTCATTTTGCAGGTATGGAAACAAGCCCCATAGGAGCCAAAGCCCACAGGCCTCCTGTTACCAGGGGCTCTGTGCACTGGCAGGTAATGGCATTTTTCTTAAATCAGAAGCAATTAGGGGCTCTTCCCATTACACCTTGTGTTCTTTGGTGCCTGCTGCTGGGATGGGACTTGTATCAGCCTTCTCTTCTGCTGTTTATTATTTTTAGGCAGCGGCTTCATTCCTCTTCTATCACAAACAGACAATTCGAGTAAGTTCTGCCTTCCTGCCATCCAGGTAGGGCCAGTGCCAGAGATGATGAGACGAGCACAAGCTCCTGGCCTCTGAGGTGGGGCATGCAGCTGGCAGATGGACAGGTGGAACACTAAAGAAATGCCACCTAGATCATGGGATCCAACAGTGCTTCCTATTAGAACCTAAGGGACACCACTGGGAGGGGTTAGGCAAGGTCTGCACTTACGTTGTCTTTGAGATTACAGACTACTTTGGCGTAACACTTGTTGTTATCTCTTGAAGGAACCGTCCATTCCAATGGCCAAAAGAAGCTATGGTAAACCTGAGAAAATACAAGCATAACTTACACCAATTATCCGAAGGAATATTAGATACAGTAAAAGACAGTGGAGACTTTGATAATTAAAACTTCAATTAAACATAAAATTTCTGGAATAGACAGGAATCTGATCTGAAGGTAAATAACTTTATAAACTCCTTGCTGTCAGGAGCTTTTAGTGAAAGTGAGTTTCCCTAATTATTTTTCAATCTCTAATTATAAGCCTAAAGTAACAGGAACAAAGACCAAGGGATGAGAGAAAGATGTACTGTCTTGCATCTAAAAGTAACAAAGATGCACTACTACTTTTTTTTTTCTTATAGGAATGGCACTTTTGAGCAAATTTTGAACAATTATAGCAATTATCTAGTTCTCTTGCCTTAAGACTTCCAAGAGTGTCTTCCTGACATTATTCACCAAAACTACAGAAGGAGGGCAGAATGAAAGGAGAAAGAAAAATAAAGGATGGAGAGATGTCCTTACTGATAACTTGAGGGACTATTTTTCCATCTAGTTGTTTAGCCTCAAAATGTCTATAGTCAACCTCTTTTTAGAAGCACAGAATATGAACACTTAAGCGTTCCTTTATGTTGTCACACATGGCTTCATACATGTGGGACACAGCATCAACACTGTAGACTGTGAGGTAAGCCACTGCCTGCACTGCCAGCATCCCATGTGAGGGCCAGTTCGAGTCCTATCAGCTCCATTTCTCACCAAGCTTTCTGCTTAAGCACCTGGGAAAGAAGGGGAAGATAGCCCAGGTGTATGGATGCTGGCTTCCCACGTCCTGCATAGCCTGGCCCAGCCCTGGCTACTGCGGCCATGTGGGGAATGAGCCAGGGGATGAGAAGAAGCCCTCTCTACTTCTCTTGTACCTTCTTCACCTTTCAAATAAATGAATCTTTATCCCCCCCCCCCAAAACAACAACAAAGAAACAAACAAGAAGAAAACCAAAGGACAAGGCAAAACGTTCATTGGTACACTACTTCTAAAGGACAGAAAACCATGTTTAAGTTAGACTTTGAAAAAAACTGAGCAACTGGAAGGAAGTACGTAAAAACATTGATAGCAGTTATTTCCTCATGAATTAAATTTCATGTTTGATATCACCCTGTTTTTCAAACATATTCAAATTTTCAATTTATTTATTCGAAGGGCAGAGATGGGGCTGGGGAATATATCTCATCTGCATGCTGGCTCACTCACTAAACACTCCTGGTGGCAGGAGCTGGGCCAGACTGAAACGAGGAATGGTGAGCTCATTCAGGTTTTTCCCTGGGGAGGCCGGGGTCCAGCTACTGCTACTCCCAGCGCTCATCAGCGGGAGGCTGGAGTGGGCAGAGGAGCCAGGACTCAAACCCACGCTCTGATAGGCAGTGTGGGTGTCCAAGGAGTGTCTTAAGCACCACACCAAACATTTATTCCTCCGCTACTTCTATAATCAGAAAAAGCATTTATGTTCTTTAATGGATCAAGGTATTGGACTGAAGGGGTGGGGTTGTGGCTGCCTACAATGCCAGCATCCCCTACTGGTGCCAGTTCAAGCCCCACGTGCCAACAGTCCAATTCCCTGCTAACACACCTGGGAAAGCAGCAGGATAGCAGCTCTTGGAGATCCAGGGAGGCTCCTGGCTCCCAGGCTTTAGCCTCAACCAGCCTTGGCTGTTACTGCTATTTGAGGAGTGAATCAGAGATGGAAAATCTCTGCAACTCTTTCAAAGAATAATGAAAATAATTCTACTACCAATGGTATAAAAAGTCTAAATTAGGATTTCCTATCATATAATTGACTTTAACTTTAAAAATCTGGTCATTATGAAATGTTATTAAAAATTTATCCTGCAAATATCTGAAACAGAACTTCTTGGAGCAGCATTAATCAAGCTTGGGCATCTCCCTCGGCTATGGTCAAAGCAGTACAGTTATAGTCAATTTTCAATTTATTTTTTCTTACTTTCCTGTATTGTTTTTTTTAAATGAAATCAATAAATGTAATTACTTTTCAAAAAGCAAAAGGAAATACCATTTGGTTAAGTGACAAAATCTGAAAATGAAACATAAAGGAGATTTTAAAAAAAAGCACTATTATCAACACACAAATCTCCTGTAAGTGTTAGTTATACTGTGGTGCTTAAGAAAGTGACCTGAGACCTGCGTGGCTCCCCAGCAGAGCACCTGCCTAAAGGCTCACTTCCTGCCTCTGGCTTCCCATCCAGCTGCCGGATGATGTAGACTTGGATGAATGATGATGGCTCAAGGAACTGAGCTCTTCCTCTTCTGTGGGAGGACCTGGACTGAATACCCAGATTCCAGCCAGAGACAGCCTGCACAGAAGAGGCTTTCATAACACACAACTTAAAAACTGCATGGAGAAAGACCCAGTTAAACATGTTTATTGAGGACCTGGCGCCATAACTTAAGAGGCTAAGCCTGTATGGGTGCTGGGTCAAGTCCAAGCTGCCCCACACTTCCCATCCAGCTCCCTGCTCATGGCCTTTGAAAGTAGCAGAAGATAGCTCTCAAGTCCATGAGCTCTTGCACTCGCATGGGAGACCTGGGGAAGTTCCTGTCTCTAGATTGGGTTAGTTCTGATTACTGCAGCCACTTGGGGAATGAACCAGCAGATGAATGATCTCTTTAAATCTCTGCTTCTCTCTGTATCTTAAAAAAAAAAAATGTATATATATATATATGTGTGTGTATTAAAGTTTAATTTTCTGTAAAATCATTTTGAAACCCATGAAAAGCTTTTCCATAACACAAATTTTCCAAGAACTATTCAGACCTCTCATGTACATATTTCAAAAATTTTTCTAACAAAATGAATTTACTTTTAAGTTTCTTTCTTCATGATCCTTCAGAAGTAATCTGAACTTAAGAGGAAAGGGGTATTCAATTTAATCTTGAAAAGATTAGAAAAACAGAAAACTACACAGAGAAATAAAACATGAAAAGTGTATGTAAAATAAATGGCCAAAATGTTAACAATATGTCAATCTGGAAAATAAGTAGATGGACAGTCTTGTACTACTGTTCAACTTTTCACACATTCTTGAAATTACTGAAATGGCTGAAGAAAAACAGGATTAAGAAAGTACGAGAAAAGAGCTTGAAAAGGCAACCTCACCTCAACGTTTTCCTCACCAAATTTCTCCACAGCTTTCTCCTCAGAAAGGCCACAAGCGCCATATTCCAAGGGCGTGAACACTGTTGTTGGAACATTTTCATAGTCACACTGGTTCAATGTAGAGAGAGAAAGAGAGAGAGAGAGTCATCATGGGTAAAATTGTATCTTACCAAAACACAAAACAGATTTCAAACAGGCTCAAAATTGGAAGAAAAATGACTGACAGACTTCTATCAACACCAGGTGACATCCACCCCCAGAGACCCATCAGCTCCTGTGTCAAGTCCTCACGGGGGCCTGGCTCTGAGTGCTCCAGCATCCACCCGCCTACAGCAACACACGTCTCTCCTTCACCGAAAAGCCAGAAACAACACTCCACCCAGTGCAAGAATCCCATGCTAATAGTGACAACAATGAACAGAATGCTTGGAAACATCAAATTAACTTACATGCTAAGAGGCACAAGTATTTTATATCTTTGTCTCAATAATCCCAATTTTTAAAAAGTGGCAAGCTTATAGTATTATCAATTACTACATAATAAAATATCAACTAATGTGATAATATACCAAAAAAAAGTTGCATGTATTTATTGAGAGTGGCAACACTGGAGCAGCTTTGAAATCCCACATCTATGAAAAGCTTTCAACTATGCCAACAAAAACACAGTTAACGCCTATAACAGCACTCTCCAAAGCACACAGCGTGAGGTTTACAGGAACTGATGACAAAAGGATTGTAAAGTCAACAAGTTAGTTAAAAAGACTGGGTCTCAGATTTCTAAGAACATGCAATATGCCAATGTAAATTGAAAAAAAAAAAAATTAAAGTCTAGTGTGCTTATACATACCTACTGGTTACAAACCTAACATTTACATCTGTGCCATAGCTGATCCTAAGTAACATTCTGTTTTTAAAATTTGAGAAATGCAAATCTTAAAAACAAACAAACAGAAGCAGATTTTTCTCTATCTGAAAGGCAAAGTTACAAAAGAAGATAGGGAGGGAGGGAGAAAAGTGGCCAAAACAGCTGGGAATAAACAGGCCAGGTCGGGGACCTTCCTCCACATCTCTCACATGGGTGCAGAGGACCTGGGCACCCTTCTGGTTCTTTCCCAGGCACATTAGCAGAGCTGGGTCAGAAATGGTGCGGCCAGGACTCAAATCAGTGCCCTTAAGGAATCCTGGTGTTGCAAATGGCAGTTTAACACCAATCCTGAGAAGTACAGTCTCACTCTTTAAAATTATACAGTGAAACCTTAAAAACCTTAGCCCTTCTAGAAGGTAAAAACACATAACTACTGGGTTGTATCAGATTTAACTTCTTGCTTTAAATTTTAAAAATCAAACAGGGACAACACTTTGTAGCCACAGGCCAAGGGGCAGTGTGGGCCGGCGACCCATGAGAGGAGGGAGTAGCCCCTATGAGCTGCTGCTCAGATGGCATTTCCACATCTCTGTAAGCAGGGTAGCTGAGAAAGCACCCAAAGGTCTGTCAGTGGGACAGAGATCACGGAGGCCACAGAAGCCAGTGCCTTCAAACTGTAAGAACCGGAGGGGAGCTTCACCTAGAACTTCATCATGGATGGAGGCCTCCTGAGTCTCACTCAGACCAGGAAAGGGACTCCGCAAGATCTGTTCTACAATGATTCAACCTGATTCAGGTGAAACTTTTTTGCTCACCCCTTAGGTCATACTGTTGGCAGAGAAGGGGGAAAAAAACCTTTTGGAGCCTATACCTCTAAGTAAAGCCACCACCTGCACTGCCGACATCCCACATAGGTGCTGGTTTGAGTCCTGCCTGCTCCACTTCTGATCCAACTTGCTGCTAGTTAGGAAAGTAGCTAAAGTCCTTGGGCCCTGGACCCACATGGCAGACCTGGAAGAGGGTCCTGGCCCCTGGCTTTGGGCCAGCCCACCTCTGCCCATTGAGGCACAGTAGATGTAGAAGTGGTAGTCATTTCAAGTTTATTCAAAATACTAGCATCGGAACACAAATAAATTCTGCGAGCATCATTTGCCGTGTGTTCACTACTAAAACCAACTGGATTCAACCAATGATAATTTAAAGGAGTTATTCCTAAATTATTTACAATTAATTTTCCACAATTCTTCTAAAAAATTCTTTTCTGTTCTTCTAATCCTATGAAATATGCAAAAGCATCAATTTCCTATCCTAACAAAAAAATCAATATAACCTGTGATATACTTCACATTCCAAATGGGAAAGACTTTGTGATTTCAGCAGTTCTGCACAGCAGCACAACTGCCTAAATCCCCAAATTCATTTATAGTCTATCCAACACCTAGAAAACTCCCCAATGAGCCCTTAATGAAGAAACTGGCAGTCACCATTGCCCACAGTGTGACACTCACCTTGACGGTGGAGCCAGCATACAGCCTCTGCGCCAGCAGCCTTCCTGCCTGGATGGCTACTGGCGTGAGCTCCAGCTTTCCCTCCAAGATATCACCAATGGCATAGATGTAAGGCACGTTGGTTTGTTCTTCATCTGTGACCGGTATTTTTCCAGTCCTGCAAATTTATTTGGTTATAAATCATCATCAATCACTACTATTTAAACTTAAATAAAATCCTTCTTACCCCAGGGAAGCCTCAACTAATGAAACTAGCTGAGGGTAATGTTCTAACATTAAAAACAAAACAAGAGGGGGCTTTTGAGTGTTTGAACACTGGCTCCACTTCCCAGTCCATCTCCCTGTTGATACACAGGCACCCAGGAGGAAACAGATGACAGCTTAAGTAGTTGGGTCCCTGTCACTATTTGGGAGACCTTGATCGAGTTTGGGTCTCAGCGTTAGCCTGGTCCAGCCCCAGCATTGCAAGCTTTTGGGGAATGATTGAGTAGATGGAAGTTCTGTCAGTTTCTCTTCTTCGCAAGCGGACAAATTAAACAGCTCTTGAGTGCAGCAGAATCAATATGCTAAATGATGGCTGTGGTCACAATTTTGCAGACTGAACAAGTGTAAGAAACTTCAGAGTGGAAGGACAACACCACAGTGGTTAACAGTTAAACTATAAGGAGAGCAGCACATCTGGTGCAGCAGTTACCACCTGGGACATCCACATCCTAAACTGCAAAGGCCAAGTTCAAGTCCTGGCTCTGCTTCTAACTCTGGCCTCCTGCCAACGCACACGCCAGGAGGCAGCAAAGCATGGCTCAAGCACAGTGTGCTGGCTGCATGGGGGATCAGGGTTAAGTTCCAGACCACCAACTCTGACCCTGTCATGCCTGCCACAGCCACTGCAGCCACTTGGGAGACTGAATAAACAGACGGAAGAGCTCTGTGTCTCTCTTTCAAATGATCAATAAGAAAATCCTTTAAAAGTTAGAATTATAAAAAACCAAAAGGGGGAGATGTGGTATCCAGAAAGTACTAAGGTGTGTGATCATGGCAGATGCCATGTAAGTGAAAAAAGCAAATTCTCCAAAGTTTTTAAAAATAAGTAACTGAAATAGTATCCAATAAAATCTATGATATAACAAAGGTGTTTTTCCTTACTTTTCATTTATCTTTACGCCCACGGTGTCTAAGCCAATTTTTCTTGTGCAAGCATCTCTTCCTATTGCCAGCAACACCTGAAAAATCACTTTTATATTAGTGACTGTTAACAAAAAGGCTTTGTATGAACTATTTAACTACACTTTTTCTCTTTTCATTAAGCTAACCTCATTTCACTTTCCAGAGCTGGAAAGAAAATATATCCTTAAGAAAATAATATAGCATTTAAACAAAATCTTTCATGAAGTAAAACCCTTTGAATACAATATAATCTAAATGCTTTACCACTTTTGATTTAGAGAAAGGCATTAAGAATTCCTTAATACAAATCAGAAACAAGGCAGCACAGTTGTGACTGAGTTCAGTTACTTTTTAAGTGGTAGGCTGAGGGGATGAAAGCCCACACGTCACACAAAACAGCTTATTTCAGAATTCTGGTGCCTTTTTAATAGACATTGATGTTATTGCTACGACAATCAAAAGGCATCTCCGTGCCAAATAGAACTGTAACATCCCAAGCAATTCCTAAGTCAGAATGCAGCACAGCATTAGCATTAGTCCTTCAAGGAACAGAGCAGAGCCCCAGCAAACTCACAGCTGTCTTCTGGTGAGGCACTAAGCCAGGCCCACTCCTTACCGTATTATATTCTCCTTCGATGGTTTCTTCAGTAGTGGTGGACTTGGCTACCACTCTGAGCCGGCCTGGCGTCCCTGCTTCAATTTGTTCAACCTACAAAAGTGATGGAAGGCACAATCTGACATACGCACACTGATTGAGGGGACAGATGGTGTCTTCCCTCTTCAGGTTGGTTAACCCAAAGTTAAAATCTGATCTGACAGATCTCTTGTGCCCCATTCCCCTTGCCTTAACACCATTAGGATGGTAAGTGACCCCCTTCTTTTCTTACTTTTTAAATGTAGCTTGCTGGAGCTTTCTTTCTAAAAGATCTTAAACAAAATACGGGAACAAAGAATTCCAGAGAAAACACACGATCACTAAATCAGACCAATGATATACCGCTTATCCCATCTTCTCATTTCCTAATTAATCCAGAACCATTCGTCCCTGAGCGAGCCACTGCTGTCCCAACTTAAAAGGTCCCTTTAAGCTACCAATGCTCAGCATTCATTGGCAATAAAGCCTGAGGCCAAAGAGATGGATCTATTCACAACCAGGAGGCGTCCCTGGGGAAGCACGCAGGAGACAGTGAACAAGCGCACGTACTTCTGCTTCAGCAAATGAAAACGAGACCATCAGCAGCCAGAGGTGTCACCAATAACCTACCGACCAGGGAGTAATGACTTAGAGCCCACCTGGGAACTTGGTCCAGCGTGCAGCTGGGTACTGGGTTTGGGCCCCTGCAACCTACATGGGAAACTCAGCTCAAGCCCCTAGCTCCAGCGTGGCCTCACTCAGCCCTTGAGTTTGGGGGGAATGATCCAGCTTCTGTTTGGGGGGAATGATCCAGCCTATTTCTCCCTCAAACTAAAACTTCCAAAAAAAAAATTTTCTTGTTAAAAAAAGTATGTGCTTGAATTTTGCTCACAAGTTAACAGCCAGCAAATCATTTTTTCTGAAATTCTTCATAGAATAAATTAATAAAGGAAAATCAACTCCAATTTCTACTATACTGTCGTTCGAGAAAACTAATAAGGGTAATTTTATTTTCAACATCAATAAACAGCAAAGATGTCCTTGAATTCCCTCTGCTTCTTATATACATAGCTAAGCCATTTTCAATGTCTCAGAAAATTCTTTCCTGTTTAAATGGAAATGTTCTCATTTTCCGGAAAGAGTTGAACTGGTCTGTACCATGGGTTCATTTCACAATGGCGACAACCTCATCCTAGCTCAACTCTTGCTCCCGTAACGACACGCTAATCCTCCAGTCAGGCCGCTCTGTCCCCAAGACAGCCTTCCTCCCCACACAGCCTATGTTCTATGTTCAAAACGCATTCTCTCCATAAGCTCTGCAGGGGCTCCTTTCCTTCCTAACAGAGACTGCTCTACATCTGGGTACTGGAAATCAGACTCTCAAGCCTCCCCATTTTACCAGGAACGGTTCACCACACTTCAAGGCCTCATGCTGCTTTCTGAGTGCTAAGCAAATTATACATGGAGATGTGACTTTCCTGTCAGCGCAGCGCAGGGCCTGGGGCTGCTTACCCTGATCACAGTCCAGGTACACACACAGCATCCATCCATTCCTCTCCTCCCCTAAAACAAACCTACAGAAAGAAGGTACTCCAAAGCCCTTCCAGAGTCACATCAAACGACAGCTTTCCGTCAGGTTTCCTACAGGCCAGGCACTGATCTCAGTACTTCACAAGGGCTGGCTAATGCAATCCTCACAACTCGGGGATGGATCGTCCCCATGATCCTCATTTCACGGATCTGAGGTCCAGAGATGTTAAGCCATTCTTGCAAAGTCACATAGCAAGAAACTAGTGATGAGAGCATTTGAATCCCAGAGTATTTTCATTCTCAAGCTCACCTGGTTACCTTTCAACATTACAGGGAGCATGAGTATAGAAGCAAGACATCTACCCATATCCGCACCTACCTTAATGGGCACATACTGCCTTATGAACTTGACGCCATGTTCTTCCATGTGTTCACCAATCTTGTTGGCCATGTCCTGGTCAAATCCTCTGAGGAGAATGGACCGTACCATCACAGTGACATCCAAACCAATACCAGCAAGAAAGCCAGCGCACTCCAAAGCAACATAGGATGCTCCGACCACGAGGGTTTTACCCGGGCAGTAAGGTAGGGAGAACAAATCATCACTGGAAAGAAATTAAGGCGGGAAGAGGGGAATGTTCATGCATCAGGAATGAGAAAACCAAGGGAAACATTTTTATTTTCAAAGGAACATGAAACACGTGTTATAAACACTCAATTAACCAAACACATAACACATGGGAACCTCATGGTGTTAGATATTCTCCTTTTCTTGACATTCAGTTGCTTTGAGCCTAATGCAAACCATTCTGTCCATGTACTGCAAGGCATATAACTTCTGGCATTTGTCCAAAACAATTTTGAATTATTTGGAATGAATCATGCATTCGCAAACCATGCCCCTATCCCACCTCAGCTCTTTACAACGTGGAAAATCCATACTGTTTTTCACCTATATTATTAACAGTGGGATCTATCAATGTCTGTGTCCAGCTCCCTTTGTCCCTCCTCAAATTCTTTCAATGGAATGCTGCCCTCCAAAGCGACAGTATTACAAAGTAAGGTGTTTGGACCCTGCACGATAGCCTAAAGGGATCCCATGTGCCTTGCCTGCGCCAGAATACCATGTGGGTGCCAGTTCATGTCCCAGCTACTCCACTTCTCAACCAGCTCCCTGCTTGTGGCCTGGAAAAGCAGTAGAGGATGACCCAAAGCCTTGGGACCCTGCACCTGCATGGAAGACCCAGAGGAAGCTCTTGGCTCCTGACTTCAGATCAGTTCAGCTCCTGTCGTTGTGGCCACTTGGGAGTGAGCCAGCAGATGGAAGATCTGTCTGTCTTTCCTTTTCTTTGTAGATCCAACTTAACAATTAAAAAAAAATCTTTAAAATAAATAAATAAACTGCCAAGCAAAGCCTCCTTGTCTGATTCCTGTACTTCAGAAGGTTCCTGCTGATGCTGCATTCATTCATTCAGCAGTGAATGGGGACGAGAGGTCTGGGAAATCCAACAGTTAGCCTGCCTAACGTCCATGACGTCCATGTTCAAAAATCTTAGGGTAACCTGTGAGTCTGGATTTGCACAAACGCAATGTGCATACCCATAGTCACACTTATTACAAGCTGTGATCATCCCTGTGGCTGTATAGGGTCTATGCATACATACACATGCATACTTGGACTTTCAAAGACACAGATCTATAAAAAAAGAATGTTAGCAGTGACAGTAAGGCCACATGCCAAGATGACCAATATTCATGGTTTCTGAATTTCTCAAACCTTCTCCCAAAATATTTTTTCCCTTTCCTATGTTTTGTAATCTGCTGTCCCGAAAGGCAAATAGGACAAAAATTTTGGTCTGATATACAAGAACTGGACCAAGCTGGCTCAAAGAAAAAGGCGCAACTCCCGAGCTTTCTTTTCCCTGCTTTCCCTGCTCACCTGCTGATGCAGTACTCCTTGTCCCCAGGGATGCCCAGGTAGCGTGGCCTTTCACCAGTAGCAATGAGAAATCGCTCTGCTGTGTAAATTTTTTCTTTGCCTTTATTATTTGTTGCCTATGAAGGAAAACAGTAATGCAATTATTCTGTATGCAATTATCCCTTAGAATTTTAAATGTGATGGTTAACAAGGAGCATTCACTGGATGTCACATTTCATTCTTGTAAGAACTTGGTAATAGGGCCCGGCGCCGTGGCACAAGTGGTTAAAGTCCTTGCCTTGCACGCCCGGGATCCCATATGGGCGCCGGTTCTATCCCAGCAGCCCCGCTTCCCTTCCAGCTCCCTGCCTGTGGCCCGGGAAAGCAGTCGAGGACGGCCCAAAGCGTTGGGACCCTGCACCCGTGTGGGAGACCCAGAATAGGCTCCTGGCTTTGGATCGGCATAGCATCGGCCGTTATGCTTACTTAGGGAGTGAATCATCAGACGGAAGATCTTCCTCTCTGTCTGGTCTAGCGAGTCTTACTGGGCTCAGAAAGGTAGAGCTCCCCTGCCACATGAGACGAGTGCCTTACGAAAGAGCAGGAGCCAGCGAGCTGCTGGCTCATTCTGCCATGTGGGGCAGAGCAGGTGTCCTAGGACCAGGACACCAGCCTCACCAACCATCTGAGAAGCTGTGCTGTGGTGCAGTGCGTAAAGCCCACTCTTTTTTTTTTTTGATTTTTTTTTTTTTTTTTTTTGACAATCCTTACAAATTTAATTGGGGTAAAAAAGGGTCAAGGTCTAAAGGGGGATATAGAGGAAGAAGCCCCACCCAATCTCCCGCCCACCCCAAGTCCCGGAAGTGGGGTGCGCTCCGAGATACTCGATCAAGTGGTTCCAATAGTTCACTATTCATGGGTCGTTGCCAGTCTCGCCACCCCAATCATGATGTGGTCATTGAAGAGTTCATTGATTGACACAGTCCCTTCTAGGGTCTCCATTTACCCAGTCTCTGCTGCCAACAGATGGCTGAGGTTGTTGCTTGATTTGTCCTGTCTTTCCCTGGTTAGGACTCCGAGTCCGGTGTCTCGAATGGGAAGATCCTCGAAGAAATTTTGAGGTATTCCCAGTCCAGATTCCTGCTGTTTTAGTAGCATAGGGCCCATCACAGTCCACTGCCCCGGTCAGCTGGCGGCTGCAGTTGCTGGGCCGGTTCTGTCTCCACCCGTGTCTTCTTGCAGTCCCGCCTGGTTCCACCCTGGACGCATTTGTCCCTCGCACGAACTAGTAGGAGTTGCAGCCCAGTCAGGGCGGCCCACAGTAGCCTCAACCAGGCCCACCTCCTACCCTGGCTTGCCAGTATATATGGCATACTAGCCCAGTCTGTCCCCAGTACCCTTCTGTTGCTACAACTAAGCCCAACAACCCTCACCAACTCTGGTTGTAGCTTACTCTAGTGGGATTGGTCAGCCTAGCCTGGTTTTCACCCAATCTGGTCCCCATGAGGTGCACAGGCGCTGTGTCCCTGCCTGGTCTAGTCTACCCCCCACCCAGCTCCCGCTCCTCAGTGTAATTTGCTGTTCAGCTAGGGAGCCTCCCCTTTTTCTCCTGTCAGTTCTGCCGTCTCCTTTCCTGGTTCTCACTTGTGTTGGTTGGGTGCTGCGGCTGCATCCGACTCAGGCTACCTCACCTTGGCATTCCAGCCTGCGTGTTGCTTTTGTTACGACCGGACCTGGTTCGACCCACACTCTGTTCTGGCGGTCAGATTCACCAGTGGATGACATGAACGGATTCAGCCTGGTCTGCCCCCGACCCAAGCCAAATGCATGCCAGTGGGACACTTTCTATGACCTCTTGGCTGTTGCCTTGCATGTTCCTTGTGCTGACCTGCAGGGTCTGTGTCCTGCCAGAGGAGTTGCCTGAGCTCCTCCATCAGAACCCCTCCATGTGCCAGGTTTCGCGCATGTCAGTGGGTCCATGTGCCAGTTCGCCTCTTATCCTTGTAGGAACAGTGGTCTTTCCTAACTGGCCATCATCCCGTTCTGGTTCTTGCTGTAGAGTGTTTCAGCGCGGCCACGGTCATCCATGCCCCCATATAGCTTGTACATGGCTAAGTTGAGGTTGGGACCTAGCCTAGTCCGCCCCACATCCACCCTGGTACTCCAGAGCACCAGAACGTGTTAGTGTCTGGCCTGGCCCGGTACATCTTTTCCCAATCCACATTTGTGCCAAGGGAGAGGACAGCTGTATCCAGATCCTGCCGCAGCCCCGTCCACCTGTCATGACCTCTGCCTTAGACTCTGTGGCTCAACTTTGTGCTTAATGTGAACCAGTTGGAGCCAAATCCAAGCTGGGCATGTCCTGTGTTGCACCCTGTGTTCCAATCACACTAGTGGGCTAAGGTTTGCTTGGTCCGAACATTCATCTCTCAGTCCCGCACTTGCATTAGGGTTTCATGTCCCGGTTCCTGGGAATCACCAGAAATTAGTGTCTCACCTACACTACCGCTGGTCTTACTTTTGGGTGTCCCAAAGCACCTATTTCATATCCTCAAAACCCCAGAGCTCGCCGCTGGGCGGCCAGCAGGCAGAGCCTGGCACCACTTGGTGCACTGGCCGCCCAAGGCCTGGGTCTCTGCCCCCGTCTCGCGACGAACGGGGGCTGTGGCTGGGACTCCGGCATGGTTCGGGCCGGAAGGGGCGTTCCCATGGAGCGCCACCTCGCATGGGAGTTTAACCCCGCCCCTTGTCCGGAGACGCGAACCGCCCAGCCTACCCTGCCGTCAGCCAAAAGCTGACGGGGGCAGAGGGGAGCCAGGATTTGACCCCCAGCCTCCCTCGCCAGCCCTCGCGAGTACCCACCCGCGAGGGGGCTTAGTTACCCCCGGGCCAGGAGGATGCCGGCGTCCCTGCAAGCGGCGGAAGCTGTCGTAAAGCCCACTCTTAAAAATTCCCACACCTCCACCAAAGGTGACCAAAAGGGGTGGTGGCAAAGTTACCACACTGGATGGTCTAGGCCACAGGGATTATCATTTTCCTAATACTTTTCATACTTCAGAATGTTTTGTCCTCTCCCACCGCCAACTTAATCTTATTTTAAAACAACGACTTGGGGCCCAGTATGGTACCCTGGCGGCTAAAGTCTTGTCTTGCACATGCCTGGATCCCATATGGGTGCTGGTTCGTGTCTCTGTGGCCCCACTTCCCATCCAGCTCCCTGTCTGTGGCCTGGGAAAGCAGTCAAGGATTGCCCACGTGAAAGACCTGGAGGCTCCTGGCCCCTGGCCTTGGATCAGTTCAGCTCCAGCCATTGCGGCCGCTTGGGGAATGAATCAACGGACGGGAGATCTTCCTCTCTGCCTCTCCTCCTCTCTGTATATCTGACTTTCCAATAAAAATAAATAGATCTTTAAAAAAAAAAAGGTGTCTCAGAATGTGATGCAATTACCTTAATCTGATGAGGACCGATGAACTCGCCATAGGCATTCTCGTAGACTACCTTCTTCTCCCGCAGAGCCACTCGGTAGCCCCAGTTCAGGGAGCCGATGTGATTCTGGACAGCCTCCGTCATCTTCTCCCAGTCATGCTCAACTGCATAAGACAATTACGACACATGGTTAGGCTTTTCCGCTGCATGGCCCACAACATTTCTGAGTAACTGCTCCCCAGAAACAAAGCGTTGAGCTCTTGGGAGAAAAGACGGGGGCCTTCACTGTGGGAACACGAGCCACATTTTCATCTTTAGGGATCCTTTCCCTTGCAGAAGAGCAACGCAAGGCTGCTTGACAACTGTCCAGACCATAATAGTCATACATATTTGATCTTCTTTTTCTAGAAATGAACTGGAACTTTGGATTGTAAATATTAACTGCTGGGGTATAAATAAAGAGAGTTAAGGCTTAGGGTGCTACATCTGAAGTTCCAAGAGATTTCAATAAAAGCAGGTGTAAGGTTACTCAAGTGGTAACTGTGCCAGCAGCTGATATATTATGGCAGAAATTCAGTCCACCATTTTTGCAAATGAAGTTTTATTGCAATACAGCTACAGGCAAGTACCTATATACTATCTTCACACCACATGGCAGAATGCAAAATGTGAGACACAGGCAACATGGCCACAAAGGCCTAAAATATTTACTACCTGGACCTTACAGAAAAAGCTGACTGCCTGCTGCTTGTGGCCTAGGAAAACAGTAGAGGATGGCCCAAAGCCTTGGGACCTTGCACCCCTATCCGGAAGAGGTTCCTGGCTCCTGGCTTCTGATCAGCTCAGCTCCAGCTGTTGCAGCCATTTGGGGGAGTTAAGCACCAGACGGAAGATCTTTCTCTCCTTCTCTCCTTCTGTCTATAATTCTGCCATTCCAATAAATATAAAGAAATCTTTGGAAAAAAGAGACACAAATCTGAGGGGCTGGTGTGGTGGTGTAGCAGTTTGAGACCACACTGCTCCACATCCACCTCCCTTCTTATGTGCCAGGGAAAATGGCAAAGAACAGACCATGTCTTTGGGAACCTGCCATCCACATGGGAGACCCCTTAGAAGCTCCTGGCTTCAGTCTGGCATACCTGGCCATTTATTAAAATTCACACACACAGGTGCAGATGCTGTGGTGCAGCCAGTTAAGCCACCAGCTGTGACTAACCCAAGTCCCAGCTGCTCCACTCTCGATCCAGCTCCCTGCTAATACACTTGGAAAAGCAGCGGAAGGTGGTCCAAGTGCTTGGACCTGTGCCTCCTTCCATGTGAGACACCCAGATGAGTTCCAGCACTTGGCTCTGACCTAGCCCAACCCCAGCCAATGTGGGCATTTAGTGGAGTAAATCAGTGGGCAGAAGATGTCTCTCCTTCTGTGTCTCTCCCTTTCTCTCAGTCATTCTTACTTTCAAGTATTTCAAGATTTATTTTTTTTAAAGATAATTATTTATTTGAAAGATAAATATTCCACCTTCTGGCTTGCTCCTCTAATGACTGCAATGTTTAGGGCTGGGCCAGGTTGAAGCAAGCAGCCAGGAGCCCCATCCAGATCTCCCATGTGGGTGCAGGGGCTCAAGTGCTTGTGCCATCTTCCACTGCTTTCCTAGGAACATTAACAGGGAGCTGAATCAGATATGGAACAACTAGGACCCAAACTGGTGCCCATTTGTGATGCCAGCGCCGGCTCCAATACAATAAAACTTAAAAAAAAGAAAAAAAAAAATCACAGCAGCCATCCTTACTTTCTCCTTCAACTAACCTGATAAAGTTAAGCAGGAGCCCCAGGAATTTTACTTAAAGACTCCTTATTATATGTCCAGCTGATAGCATGAGGCTAATCTCCACCAGCACCACACACAAACTCCCTAGCCTGGTGATTTACCTGCATTTATGAGTCAGGGGTTCAGGAAACAGAAGGCATATAGATTCACAAAATTGACTGGCATAAATCAAAATTTGTGTGGAACAACCCGACTTCAAATTCTAAACCTTTTCAGATGAATATTCTTCTTACACGGCTTCATCCACTGCATTTCTAAAGTGTCAACTGAGAAGCTAAACAAATTCCCTGAGACCCTGTTGTTAATGGGGTGTAACAGTAGTGGAAAGGGGTATGTGTGGGCAGACATGGTTGGCAGACACGCAAGCCAGCAAGAACACGGAGGAAGGACGGGCAGAAATGTGGGAGACGACTGGAGCCCTGTGTATCAAAATCATGCTCCACAGCCAGAAGTCTGCTCAACTGGGCAATTAAAGATGTGATGGCACTCAGACACGCAGCATGGCCTAGGCGGCCACAGGTCACAGGCATAAAGCAGCCTTGCACTGGGTTGGCAGAAACAGAAGAGACCTCAAACATGAGAAAACTTGGAGAAGAAACTGGTTTTCTACACCTCCAGCCATGAAAAAAAAAAAAAAAAGCCACTTGATTTCACACAAGAAGGAAAAGCACCAACAAAGGAGGTGTGATGTGTTTGAAGAGAAGCAACATTCTTCACAGCATGTAAAATCTATGCCTCATTTTTTGCACTTAGTAGGCTATTTATGGAATCTCCGAGAAGTCACAAAATAGCTTATCCTAGTTACTAGACTGAAGATTTCCCCCTCAAATAGCCCATATTGCATCGATCTCAAAACTAAAATTTCACTGCTCAAGGACAGAATAATGTGCAGGTCACGAATCAGTCACAAAGCTGGGTCAGGCCTCCCCAAACCTCCTGCAGAGTGCCACCCGCCACTTCAACAGGCCCAGCATTTACAGAGCATTCTAAATATTTTACCTCAACCAACAGTCCCCTGTCAGTGTATTAGCTCAGAAATTATCTGGAGAGGGAAAAACACAAACACCTCGACAGAAAGCCAATGTGATTTGCACTGGCTTATAAATTATTAACATTGCATGGTTTCTCACAAGTACATGAAAACTCATTTCAAAGAATTCTTGTTTTCTATTACAGAAATACCACACTCCAAGTATAGTAGCTATTCTTACCATAATAACTATGCAGCTAAGGAAAAGTGTAGTGATTTCATCCATACAGAATGTAAACACTAAAAACCACTCCCAGAATATCTGCCAGCCTCGTATACACACTGCTCAAAACCCCAAGTGCAAACTGAAAAGCAGTTCGTTCCCATACCCGTCTCCTCGAATTTCCAGCCATAATTGCGAGAGTCTCGCAGCGCCTGTCCCAGCAGAGCCGCCTGATGCATCAGCTTTTTAGGTATGCAACCCACATTCACACACGTTCCTCCGAGACCTGCAACAACATGGAGAAGCCAGCTCAGAGCCTGTCTTACAACCCTTCAAAGCAAAAGGTCAGTGCTGATTAAGATTCTGTCAAACATGGCATTTTATTTGCTTAATGTGGCCACTACTATGTATGTAAATTTATTCCTAACTATTAAGAAATTTCAGAAAACCAAACATAACATCATCCTAAAACAAAAACAGAAGTACACTTTTACAATTTCTTCGAAAAAAATATTATTTTGTGTTCTGAATTTTTTTTAAAAGACATTTATTTATCTGAAAGGCAATTACAGAAACAAAGAGGAAGAGACAGAGAGAGAAAAATGTTCCATGGCTCATGTAGCTCAATCCCGATGAGCACAATGGCCAGGGCTGGGTCCGAAGGAAGCAAGGAGCCAAGAGCTTCTTCCAGGGCTCCAATGTGAGTACAGGTGCCCAAGGTCTTGGGCCATTCTCTGTTGTTTTTCCAAGTGCATTAGCAGGAAGTTGAATTGGAAGTAGAGGGTCTGCGATAGGATGCCAGATTTATCTGCTGCACCACAATGCCAGCTTCTACAATTTCCACATGTCTCAAAGATCCAAAATTATATAATGCCAATAAACATGACAACTGCATACTTGCCACTGAATATAGGCACAGAATCAAGTGATGCTGTTATGCTGGGTATGATTAGATTTATGTGGGTTTGAAATTATAAAATCTGGCATGTGTATAGATTTTTAGGATGTGATTTACTTGATTCTGTGAAAAACTGTTCTTCCATCCAAAAGGAGTTAACGGTTCTCTGTGAAAAGAACATGATGTTAACTTCTGACTCAGAACAAAACGCAGGCAGGTGGAGGGGGACCCAAACATGAGTTACCACAAGCTGCCTGGGTGTCCGTGGTCTTGAAAGCTCACAGTCAGCATTCTGAGAAGCAGCAGGGGGTCGCACAGAGTGTAGGCACCACAGGGCAGGACATGCACTGGTACCAAGAGCGTGTGACGCAGAGCTGACACCTGGTGTTTACCCAAAAGAAACTAGAAACGGTGCCATCTGAACTTCCTGCTCTCGCATCCTAACACAAGCAGCCAAGTGATCTCTATGGAATGTACATATTCCATCACTCCCTTACCTTAAATGCCTAGAGGCTTCCCAGGCAACTCTTACAAATTCACCTTGGCCCACCAGGTCCTGCACAGGCTTGACACCTGCCTTCTGACCAGTCACTGCTGACACCATTACCTTGAGCCTCTGTGACTTGTGCCACAACCACAAGGGACTGTTACCTACCTCATAGTCTCTGTCTTAGAGGTTCTGCCTCAGCTTTTGGCATTCTCATTCTTGAGGCTTCATCTAGATGCCGGGTCTGAAGCTGACAGTATGGCATAGCAGGCAACACTATCACCTATAAAATGCGCACTGTGTGTGGGTACTGGCTGGAGTTCAGGCTGCTGCACTTCTGAACCAGCTCTCACCCACATGGGAGACCTGGAGTTAGCTCACAGCTTCAGCCTGACCCAGTCCTGCTCATTATACCATCTGAGGAGTAACCAAACAGATGGAAGACTCTGAGTGTGTGTGTGCGTGTGTCCTCTCTAACTCTTTCAAGTGAGTACACAAATCTTTAGAATAAATCGATAAATGTTGGCTCTTCAGAAGTCTCCCTCAATAATCTTCTCAAAGTCTCCTGCCAGAGCTTCCCAATCATGTTGTATTTTTCTCAGTCTCACTCAGCATATCTCTTAAGTTTGTTACTTATCTTTTAACTCCCCCACTATAATACAAGCTTCATGAGGACAGCAACTTCTCATGTATCAAATCCACTACTCCACCCCAGAGTACCTAAGGGCTCAACAAATACCTGGTGAATCGAGCAAGTAACATATAATTTACAAGACTCAGAGCTAGCATGGGCTATCCATTAAAGTATCAAATTCCACTTCTGGTAGAATGTGGGAGGTGGATTTAAATCTTGAAAAGTTGGCATTTTCAGTTATGAAAGCCCCTAAAGTTACCAAAACATTTACCTTCAAATCACAGCTTGTGGAAAAAATTTACTAGCTTGACTTGGTGCCAAAGAAACTGATGTTTTTCAGCATTTAACCTGAGCCCATTCTAGCTAAGCTCAGTGAAAAAGGTTTATGTTTTTAGCTTTGTTTTCAACTTCTTTCTTTTAAATTGAGTTCTAGGAGTCATTTCAACAGTAGCAAAGAAAGGCTTGCTTCTGTAAAAACACTTCCAAAATATTTTAAAAATCTTACCCCATCTAGTTCCAAGAGGGGTTGGGGTGACAAAATCCAGAACCATCACCTTCTTGCCATATTTAGCTGCCTCCTAGAAAATAAAAGTATTAAAATTAGTTGAAAAGGATCACAAGAGAGATCACAAACAATTAAAATCCAGTCACAATTAAGCTATAAATGCCTAAAGAATATCCAATTGTAAATACTTGAGAATTTGCTATATCATGATGATTAATTCAACTTCAAGATAAAAATCAATAAGTATTCAAATAAGGGCTGGCATTGTAGCAGAGCAGGTAGAGCTGCTGCATCCCACAGGGGCACCAATTCATGTCCTAGATCTTATATTTCCAATCTTACTCCCTGCTAAGAGCTTGGGAAAAGCAGTGGAAGATGACCCAAGTGTCACAGCCCCCTTACACCCAGGCTGGAGATTCAGGTGACGCTCCTGGCTTCAGCCTGGCCCAACCCTAGATACTGAGACCATCTGGGCAGTGAAGCAGTAGACAGACGATCTCTTTCCCGCTCTCTCTGTAATTTTGGCTTTCAAATAAATAAATGTAGATGACAATTGTAAAAATTTTACAACCAAGTAGAAATCTCAGAAGTATTTTTAATTCCAGTTGTATAGCAGATTAAGTAACAACCAGACCAAAAAATGTGGCCATTTCCAAACAACTGGTTAAGTAACTGCTAAATCCAGTTTACTAATAGTCTATAGCCTTTTATCTGACAGTCTAAACTTCTAAGTCCTGAAGAATACTGTACATATTTTTTGACAGAAGTTGTCAGATTTCCTAAAAGATTTCCACGTGACGTGAGGAGCCCATGGAGAGGTTGAGGACATACATAGATTTTCCAGATCTGTTTCAAGGGAAGTAAAGAGAAAGGTCACAAGTTCATTTGCAGAATTTTGCATCTTTCTCAAACAGTAAGCTGTGGGTGCAGGCAACAAGAGTTCCAAGGGCTTTTTTCAAAGGACAGAGTCTACGTGTCCTTCAAACACACTGTCAAGACGTCAGCAGGGACTCACCAATCACTTTTGGCAAAAACTGCTTCATGTTACACTGGCCTGCCTCCTTTAAACCCACTTTACTCACTCACCACGGACTACATCTACCTACTGGTAGGAGAAAAATCAGTACAGCTTTTCAAAGAACCTGTGGGGGAAGGACAGGCCTGAGGGCTCATCAAACGGGACATGCACCTGCACTCAGGGACAGGCGCCTGCCTGCCAATCTTCCTTCTGCACACACCCTCTTCCCAGTCAGATGTCTGTCACAGAGTGAGTGGCTAACCTCAGATCAAGGCATTAACATTTCTAGCAGATTGAGAAATATAATTACTCTCCACATTTTTAGAATTCTGAGCAGAGAATCATAAAGGTGAAAAATCAAATGATGATATCTATAAAAAGAAACACCTAATTTCTAGCCATTCCTATATATTACCCTTAATATCTTTGAAAAACCAATTAAAAATGAGTGCAAATGCATCCCCAAACATTGGGTTCTGTACTTTTTCATAAAGAACGAACATTTCGGGCCCGGCGCGGTGGCGCAAGTGGTTGAGTCCTCGCCTTGCACGCCCGGGATCCCATATGGGCGCCGGTTCTGATCCCGGCAGCCCCGCTTCCCTTCCAGCTCCCTGCCTGTGGCCTGGGAGGGCAGCCGAGGACGGCCCAAAGCTTTGGGAACCTGCGCCCATGTGGGAGACCCGGAGGAGGCTCCTGGCTTCGGATCGGCATAGTGTCGACCCGTTGCGGCTCACTTGGGGAGTGAATCATCGGATGGAGGATCTTCCTCTCTGTATGTCCACCTTTCCAATAAAAAATAATAAAAATAAATCTTTAAAAAAAAAAAAAAAAGAACGAACATTTCAATTCAGAAAAACAATAAATAGCCAAGTCAACGTGGAAAATGCCACAAGAATGAATCAAATGGAATCTACAGAGAGCACAGGGAACTATGCTGAAGTTGTAGGCACAGTTCAGAGAACACAACGCGAGGGGCCTTGCCTTGGCGGCTGCCAGTCCTCCTGAGCCACCGCCGATGATGATGAGGTCAAAGTCATAGGCCTGGGGCGGGTCCTCTGAACCATTCATCTTCAGGAGCTTCTGCAGCGTGCCCTCCTGATAAGCCTGCAGAGACACAACACAAGGACATAGAACCCAACTGAAAGGTGGCAACATTCAGAGAGCCAAGAAAATCTTTTAGAAATACAAAAACAAAAGGCATCTTAAAAAGAAAAATTTCTGATTTAATTTACAGCACATAAATGGCAACACCCAGCCCTCCTCTGAAGGGCCCAGGGACTTGCTTTCCTTGAGGTAAGGAGCCCTGAGCGTCCAAGTCCCCAGGCCTTTCCATCACTGCTCACCACGCTGAGGTGTGCTCAGAGGGGACTTTGATGACCCAACAAACAACCTCCACCTAAACTAAGTATGACCAGCTATTTTTCCCCAAAATTTTTCAAGGAGGTAAGCTAGTTTCAACTAGTATATACCACACATTAGAGTAAAACAGTCCACACAATCTGGCAACCATCTGTACTTCTGTAGAATGAATGGGCTCGGGTCGGCACAATGGGTACAGCACACTAAACCTCCGCCCTGTGTGATGGCATTCCATTTGGGTACAGGTTCGTGTCCTGGCTGCTCCACTTCCCATCCAGCTCCTAGTTTATGGTTTAGGAATGCAATGAAGGATGGCCTAAGTTCTTGGGACCCTGCACTGACATGTGACACCCAGAGGAAGCTTCTGGCTTCCAGCATCAGACCAGCCCAGCTCTGGCTGTTGTGACCATTTGAGAAGTGAACCAACAGATGAAAGATTTTCTTTCTCTCTTTCTCCTTACAACTCTGGTTATCAAGTAAAATAAATCTTAAAAAAAAAAAAAAAACCTGGGTCCAGCATGATAGCCTAGTGGCTAAGTCCCTGCCTTGCACGTGCTGGGATCCCATACACGCACCAGTTTGTGTCCTAGCTGTTCCACTTCCCATCCAGCTCCCTGCTTGTGGAGCAATGGGTACAGTTGAGGACGGCCCTAAGACTTGGGACCCTGTACCATGTGAGAGTCAAAAGAAGCCCCGGGCTCCTGGCTTTGGATCAGCTCAGCTCTGGCTCTTGAGGCCACTAGGGGAATAAACCAGTGAACAGAAGACCTTTCTCTATGTCTCTCCTTCTCTCGGTAAATTTACCTTTCCAATGAACATAAATAAATCCTGGACAAAAAATAGTTAATAAGCACAGTAACATCCAAAAGGTCCTCCAACTTACCATCCCAGGCTGTACACTGCTCTCCTGCTTACAGTCACCTGCAGGAGCTGATGGGCAAAGGGTGGGGTCAGCAGATGAACAGGGTGCTTGGGATGTTTCAGGAGAGGGTGCAGCAGAGGGTGCGGGAGAGGGTGCGGTGGAGGGCTGCGGAGGTGGCGGCACGGGGCTGCAGCTGCACCCTGGTAGCACAGTGGGCCCATTTGGTGGCTCAGGGACCGAAGAAGGGGGAACAGCTAGAAACCAGCGGCAGCAGGGACACGACTGTGTCACCCTGACAGTCTGCACAAAAGGTCTAACGTGGGAGGCTGGCAAACAGAGCCAGTACTCGTAGACTGGCATTGTGGCCGAGGTTCCTCCTGCAGTACCGGGCGCTGTGGGGAAGAAACAGTTGGGTGACAGTCGCCATTCAGACCAACAGAGCAGCAGAAGTGCCAGGAAACCAGTCACCTCCCAGTTGTCACGGAGCGTGCTCGGCACAGATGGGGCTCAACACAGTTGCTGTGACCTAAAGAAAATCACCCCATTCTTAGCTTCCCCCCAGCCCCCCAACACATCTAGTACAGCAAAATAAAAGACGAAAATGCCAAGAAGACAAATCCCGTCTCTGCCAGCATTCACAATCTGCTCCTTGCGGGAATTCTGAGGGCCACGTTTATCCAGAGCACATCCATTTCTACAAAGAGAATCCCAGAGAAACCTGGTCCTACTTAACTTCTGTGAGGTGGAACTGGCTCCTACGTTTTAATTAAGTTGAAAAATTTAACTTAATATAAAAACTACCATCATTCAGCTCCAGACAAATGGAAACCCAACTAGAAGGGTCATACAGCTAAGACAGACAGTGGAACACAGCTCTGAGATGGCTTAAGGAACACAGACACAGGATAAGAAGATCAGAGAAAAACTCTCCCACCCTCCCCCAATTGCAGGGGCTGAATTTAACAGTGGCTAATTATGACGGTTGATCCAGGAAGCTCTCAATTTTGCTGGCAGTCTCAGGGTCACACCATAGCCCTAAATTACGGCTTGTTAAAGTAGGTTTTGCCTACTCACATTTGCGGTATCAGAAATAACTCAGGCCCGGCATTTGGGTACCAATTGAGAAGCCTGCATCCCATTATAGCACATATCCAAGCGCCTGCATTCATTACCTGCTAACACAGACCCTGGCGAGCAGCAGTGATGGCTCAGGTAACTGGGTGCCTTCCAGCCACTAGGAGGCTCCCAGCTGGTGAGGTCACCTAGGAAGAGGGCTGGCAGTTGGAAGTGCTTGCTTTTTCTTTCTATCTCCCTCAAATTTTTTTTAGTTCAAAACATTCAAATTTTTAAATTAACACATTCATTACATGTCAACAAATATCTTTAGGAAAACTTTTATTTAATTACAAGAGCACTACTATTCCATATCTTTGGAATTCCCTTTAATGCCTGACTTTTAAAAAGACAGTTCATGGGGTCCACGCTGTGGCACAGTAGGCTAAGCTCCTATCTATGGTACAGGCATCCCATAAGGGCACCAGTTCAAGTTCCAGCTGCTCCCTGATTATGTCCTGGGAAAGCAGCAGACCGGTCAGGCAGAAGCAGCTCCTGGCTCCCAGCTTTGGACCAGCCCAGCTCTGGCTGTGGTGGCCATGTGGGGAGTAAGTCAGCATACAGAAGATCCGTGTATCTGTAACTCTGACTTTCAAGGAACAAATTGTTCATAAAGAAAAATTAGTAGTAGTCTTAATTTAAAAGGACAAACAGCATCTTAGTAGTATGAAAATAAAGTTCACCTCTCAGCCTTCCTAAAAGGCACACAGAGCCCTGAGACTGCAGTCACCAGCCCACCAGCCCGCCAGCCCACCAGCCCATGCTGGTCACTTGCCTTCTCCCATTTGCCTCTCACAGCCATGCCCTTCCCACCCCGCTCCTAATAAACACTGCTTCAGACTCCCCAGAAAAATGCACGACAAGTTCATTGTTCAAGATTTCTGGAATATTAGGATCAGCCATTCTGGTTCCCCGCACCCCCAACAGGACTGCTGTTTCACCACCTTCTGTGTTGGTTTTTCTGTTCTTTTTACATGGTTTTGGTGTTAACCGACCCAGTTTAAGCACTTGCTCTGATGCTCTCCAAAACTTTTAAATAAGAGAACACACCCCCTGGACCTCACCTGCTGGCTGAGTTTAAGGGAAACAGTGATTGTTGGCAGGCTTACTCTGTAAATGATCAATTCTCCCCTGCTCTCTGGGAATAAATCTGAAAGCCTCGTAGCCTGTCCTCTAGGTGTGTCCTCCAGGTGTCCCGGGAGCCCTGCGGCCTGAGCCCTGCAGGCATGTCCTCCTGTCAGTGCTGATCCAGGACACAGAGCAGTCCAGCCCTGTGCTCCTTCTGCTCAGTGAACCCAGACACGTCACCTGTGACAGGTGCTTAAACCAGGACGAGGTCCATTCTACCTCCCTGTCCTCTTCAGACTCTCAAACAATTCTCCTTTCTTGCAACTCCAACAACACAAACCATTTCCTCCTCTCTCCACTGCAGTGCCTAACTGGGAGCCTTCAGCTGGCAGCCAGAGAAGGGGGCTGCGTCTTAGATCCCACTGCCCCCAGCCACTGCAAGGATATCTTGTCTTTCATCTCTGCACCTTCAGTACCAACCAGGTCCATGCACGATTCACCCTAGCACAGTAAGTAACAATGCACATGGCACAACTGACTGGTTTTTAAATTATAACAAATTCACAAAATTTAGAAACTACTTTTCAAATACGTACAGAGTGTTACAAATAAAAACGTTCCATAAATGTTATCAGTGAATTTTGTTTTAATAGATGACCATGACATTGCAAACTACCAAGGAAAATACACTACAGAGTAAAATCTCCGATGTTTATGCAATACTTTTTTCACTTGACCCGGGATATACAGTATATGCTTCTGTTTAGATTTTACTGACTATTTCTTGAGATAGTCCTGGCAACGCAAAACGGCTTAAACTTAAAACAAAACTCTGTCTAGTATGAATTTGTGATCATAGCCTCTGAAATTTCAAAAGTTGCCACAATATTTTTCCACTCTTGCAAACTAAGAGAGATGATTCCTTGCTTCCGGCCATGGAAGCCGGCATCACCTTCTTCACCTGCCTGGGTGGTACTGATCGGCTCTAATATTGGCAGTCTGTCCTGGTCCAGCCTTATTCTCGCAAAGCCATCCCTTATAATGAAGGAAACGTGGAATATGTTCTCCACGGTGCGAGAGAACGAGTTTGGATCAACCACAAACTCAAAGTAGGGCACGGGAGTGTCGGGGTACTCCTGGAAGTAGGTTTGCAGCAACCCCAGGATTCTCTCCACTTCCTTCTCGGTGGCCTCCTGGCTCCTGCTCAGGTCCAGCTTCCTCAGCTTGGTGGGCATGTCGCCACTCCCTGTCATTTGGCCAACTCTCTTCTGCTGTTCAGAGCGTGCCTTCCGCAGCGCAGGCTTGAACGAACCATACAGGTAGTGGAAGCTCTCGGCCCGCTGCGTCCAGGACGTCGCTTCCTTCTGCAGCGCGTCCCAGAAGAGAAGGGCCACGTTATCTTCATAGCTACTCAGCTCGTCGTGCTCCTCCTCCAGCCAGTTCAGGCCCGCAAATATAAACAGGAAGTCACAAAACGCGGCTTGGTTAAAATAGCTCATATCCGAATTCAACTGCTTCGCCTTCTCTTTCCCCAAGTCGGAAGCCAGAACGAGAAACTGGGCATCCAGGGCCGCCTCCCTGGTGCGGCTCACGGCGTCGAACAGCACGTTGGCTTCCTCCAGCGCCTCGGTGAGCGAGCTGCTGGCCGTGTTGATGATGTCCTCGCGGTTCTTCCGCACACTGTCCATCAGCTGCCGGTACTGCCTGCGGATGCTCCGGCACTCCTCCTCGTCAGCCTCCATCCCGAAGAGGGCAGCGTCCAGGTCGACCTCCTCCGAGCTGAGGTCGTCAGAGCAACCATCCGAGTCCATGGCCAGCTCCAGCTTCATCCGCTCCTCCTCCTCCGCCTGCTTTATCAAGTACTGGGCACTGGCGACGGTCACCATGGCTGCCTCCTCTTTCGCTTCGCCTTCTCTCAGGGCACCTTTTTCAACAGACATGCTGGGAATGGGAACGGCCTCCCCAACGACTCTGACGCCGCAGCCGTCTACACTTAAGTGGGCAGTTGCAGCCGCGCAGGATGCCTGCTCATGCGCAGTAGCGGCCGCTGAGTCCGCCCGGCAGCTCGTCCCGCCCAGGCCCCGCCTCCCCAGCACTGACCCCGCCCCTCGGCAGGGCGGCCCCGCCTCCACCCGCCCTGACCCCGCCTCCACCCGCCCTGACCCCGCCTCGCAGCAGGCCGGCCCCACGCCATGGCAGCGGGTTCCGCCTCCCCCGGTTCCCCGGCAGCACCTACGGGTGCAGGACAGCTCCACCTCTGCTGGGCCTTGTTTCCTGGAGGCAAGATCTGTGCGTTGGCGCGGGAGAAACGCGCGCAACAGTGGGCCCCAGTTCTACCAGGATGTAATGGCTGTTCATGGGACAGCCATTCTCCCTGCTGGTGTTTAATGACATTATCACTTAACTTGCAAACAAAGACTTTTGGACAGCCTTCAGGCAAGATTTGGAAGAATTAAAGGTCTTGGAATTTGAAACGTTTACTATCAGAAGTTTTTCAATCACTAAAAGATGCAGTTACTGAGAACTAAATCTGGCTGGACTATATATTTGAATGAGGAACTGTGAGGACAATCCAAGATCAGAAAACACAGAGAATCCATTAGAAACACAGGTGGATCCCAGGACGATTGTTTGGGATTCACTATACAAATGTAAATCTGGCGCACTACCACACTTGTCTGCCTTCAAAAGCCAAGCTGCAACCTGCTTACCCCTTCCTGAGGTTGGGGCTGGCAGCTTCAGTGGAGGTCCTTGCCAACCATGTGCAAAGTCTTATTAAACTCAAGTGCCCTTCGGCGCTCTGCCACCCAAAGGTGGGAGAATATAGAGTGGGTAGGCTTCTCCAAAGGGGAGGAAAATGGGGGGAAAAATTATCTGGAACTTTGCCAAAGTCTAATAAAGCTCACTGGGTGGTTACTAATCAAAGACCAGTAATAATACACAGGTTTTTAAGCAAAATCTGCTTATAACAGACATGAAGAAAAACCATAAATTGGGTTGACTAATCTGTTTTTGGAAAATTCACCCACTGGCAGAAGTGGGCAGAGGCAGGGGTGGAAGGGGAAGGGGGTCAGCTTCCGTCACATAAAAAGCAACAATGGAAAATCTGTTCTTAAAGACACAGATTCTTACCAACCACTGCAGTGTGTCCTTTAAAGAACAGAACAAGCAGGGCTTAAACTACACACCAACTGCCCCAGGCTTCCCAGCACCAGGAAGCAAATCAACTCTGCTTCCTTCCCTTCCAAGCTTCTACGTTGCTACCGTTTGTCCACAAACACTGTATTTAAGCAGGAGGAATTGCAGAAGCAACATGTAGTTTGTAAGAATACCATCTATTATGGTTACTTGTGTATTTATATTAAATCCTGCCCTACAATACTATTTGATTCTTAGAAACAAAAATGTGGCTCCATATTCCAACCATAGCTATTCTCACATTAATGTATCTGAGTTTGAGTATGCACTCACTAAATAATAACGTGATGAGACGTTTGATCCAGCACCTACTCCAAGTTGACAAGGAAACATGAATTTCACTGGGGTGAAATTGTGCCGCAGCAGGGTAAGCTGGCGATATTGTGCATGTGAGCCAGGCTTCTCCCCTTCAAATCCGGGTCCCTGTTAATGTACCTGGAAAAGCAGCAAAAGATAGCCCAAGTCCTCGGGGTCACCACCCACCTGGGAGAAATCAAGATGGGACCTGGTCCAGCCCAGCCACACTGTTGCCATATGAGGAGGGAATCAACACAAGCTCTTTCTCTTCCTCTCTTTGCGTCACTCTGCCTCTCAAATGATAAATATGTAAACCTTTACAAAAGACTAGCTTCCTACAGCTTCTGAAGTAAATGGTTAATGTATAAAAATATCCAGAAAAAAGGAAAATCAAGAAGAAATTAAATTTGAGATGCAGAATCACTGAAGAGTGGCATTTTATACACGTTCAACCAATACTGAAATCCATCTAGCTCAGACACAGGCCAGCACTGCAGTGCAGCATGCTATGCCACTACCTGTAACAATAACACTCCATGTCAGAGTGCCAGTTCAAGTCCCAGGTGCTCCACTTGGAAAGGCAGCACAAGATGGTCCAAGTGGTTGGGCCCCTGCACCCACATGGGAAACCAGGATGCAGTTCCTGGCTCCTGGCTCTGACCTGGCCCAGCTCTAACCATTACGGTCCTTTGGGGAGTGAATCAGCAGGTAACAGGTCTTTAACTCTTGCCTTTCAAATAAAAGACAACACAACACACAATTGAAAAATCCAAGACCTACACTGGAAAAAGTTTGACCTTATAGTGAACCATTGTCTTGGGAGCTTCTGATATACACCTGAAATTCAATGAAAGCAATTCACAAAACCCCAAAAGCTAATTCCCACCCTAAGGTACATATTTTCTCCTAGCTCAGAGGAAGGAAAACAGGCTGACACCAGCTTGCTCCGTACAGAGCCTTTCATCTAAGAATTTCAAAATGCTATAGAAAATAAATGAATCCTCTAACCTACTCATCAAGTATCATAACGCTGTTTATGGTGATTTCTCAGGAGATAAAGACACACAGCCCACACAACACCATTCATGTACCCTAACTCAAAGTCCTGATTTTTAATGCCGAATTCCTTCTGTTTGGTCTTAGTTCCCAAGAACTGTCATAAGGTTATTCAGATCATCCTTGGACAGATTCTGCCTTTGGAGTACAAGGCGTCAGATACTGCTGGAGGAAAACAATCTTATATCTAATGATTTTCCTCTTACCATCTCAAGCCTAGGATTTCTCTACATCGAACAGCAGTTTTCTAACCTGAGGTTCAATTACTAACAGTAACTATTTAAATACAACTTCAAAAGAAACTGGACCCAGTGCTGGGGCAGAGCAGGTGAAGCTAACTGCCTGCAGTGCCAGCATCCCCTGTGGGCCCTGGTTCGAGTCTCTATTCCATTTCCAACCCAGATTACTTCCAATGTGCCTGGAACGCAGTGAAAGATCACCCAAGGACCTGGACCTCTGCATCCACATGGTAAAACCAGAAGCAGCTCCTGCCTTTGGATCCGCCTAGCTACAGCTGATGGGGCATTTGGGGAATGAGCCAGCGGTTCAAAGATCCCTTCTTCCCTCTCTGTTTCTAACTGCGTTTGAGGTAAACAAACAAATCTTAAAATAAATAAATAAATAAAGAAAGAAAGAAAGAAAGAAAGAAAGAAAGAAAGAAAGAAAGAAAGAAAGAAAGAAAGAAAGAAAGAAAGAAGGAAAGAAGCAGGCAGGCAGGCATCCCAAGGACACTTGATAATGTGGAAAAAAATGGAACTGAAATGGGATGTTTGGTGAATTTTTTTCATAATATGCATTTTGCATTTAATTTTTTTGAAAAACTCTATATGCAGGAATTTCACAAACTGTTTACACCAACATACTTGTTTTAATTCCATTCTCCACGAACTTCTTAAAAATATCCTCATACATACTTAGAAGTTATACCAATAAAGTTCCTGACCACTAAGTAAGAAGCAAAGGGGCACTGGACCATGAAGTAAGCCACTGCAGTCGGCCTGCCCTGTGCCTGGGCAACCACGAGCCCCAGAAGCCCCAAGCCAGGCTCCGGCAGCCCTGGGCCCTCCTGTTTCTCCAGTGCAGCTGCACAGCATCACTATAACCCTGCCTGGTTTCTCGTTCCTTCCACCTTCTCTTGTGTTATTCTTCAGTCCCTTTCCTAGGAGTTCTGATTCAACCATCCCAAACAGTCTTAAACTCTTTCCTGGAACCCCTACCACTCAGCACAAACATGTCAGTATGACCAATGTCAACATCTCTCTCTGGCCACATAAGAATTCACATAGGTCCATTGTGGTTTCTTTTTATTTAACTGAAAAATTAATGTATTTTTAGGAGACCCCAAGCAGGATCCATTGAGTCCCACTCTGACACTCTGGTTACCAACTACCCCTCAGGAACCACCTCCCCCTCATTTCTCCGTTCCTTCTTTCCATGCAGCCTTCTCTCCTTCACCCACCAGTGCATCTGACCTGCGAAGTCACGAGGTGCAAGCCCTGGTTTGAGCTCCCGGCGGAGCCGAATGTGAGGAGTATGTTCCCTTTCGTCTGAATTTCCTGCAAGGCCACCTACATGTGTGCATGTATCTTCCTCACTTGCTTGCTGAGACTTTGCAATGACCAAGACAGACTTCTGTGCTATATTAAAATGAGCTTTTAGGGCCCGGCGCGGTGGCGCAAGTGGTTAAGTCCTCGCCTTGCACGCCCGGGATCCCATATGGGCGCCGGTTCTAATCCCGGCAGCCCCGCTTCCCTTCCAGCTCCCTGCCTCTGGCCTGGGAAGGCAGTTGAGGACGGCCCAAAGCTTTGGGACCCTGCACCCGCGTGGGAGACCCGGAAGAGGCTCCTGGCTTCGGATCGGCATAGTATCGACCCGTTGCGGCTCACTTGGGGAGTGAATCATCGGATGGAAGATCTTCCTCTCTGTATCTCCTCTCTGTATATCCGCCTTTCCAATAAAAAATAATAAAAATAAATCTTAAAAAAAAAAAAAAAGAAACTTAATGTGCTACACCAAGGCATGGGCCAGGAGATTAAAATTAAGCTCCCCAGAAACTGTTTAAAAAAAAAAAAAATAAATAAATAAATAAATAAATAAATAAAATGAGCTTTTAAAACTGTGGACCAGATGGAAAGAAACCTGGACTCCTCAGCAATAGTAGTGCTTCAGACAATCTGCTTAACCTCCGAGCCTCCAGGGTCCTCACTGGGAAGATCTCAGGACTCCCACCACCACTCATCTAAGATGCCTGGGACCACAAGGGTTTTAAGTTGTTAAATATACACACATAAATTATGAGACATAACG